GCCATAGCAGAGACGGGTCCCAGGCCCCATGGCCCTCGGCAAGGGGAAGCCAGAGGGGGAGAGGTGAGGCTACCGAGTGCTGTGGGAACTGCCCAGAGAGGTTATTCCATTGACCAATAGTTAGTATTTGAGGAATCTTCACTTTTCACTCTTTCCAACTGACTTTAAAAGCTTGGTGTTTTAAAACTGCCACTCGTATTATTATCAAACTCTGAACCCATGGTTTTACCCAACTTGCATCTGAAAAATGCAGGATGAGTTCGTTTGGCAGGAAGAGGGCAGGAGAGATCCTAAATGTCAAGGTTGAGAGATGTAACATTTAAGGAACTTTAGTGAAAAACTATATCCTTGTAGGATTCACATGTGTAGAACATGAGAGTCCACTGTGTTCTCAGTTCAGTCAGAAATAACAGATAATGTACTTTAGAAATGATGTATATATAAGTTTCCACTGTAATTTTCTAAGTCATAGCTTTGCATGAATATTTTCTTTCTTGATGCCTGTTAAAAATAACTTCTATCAAGACTCAAGTGGTGCCCTCTTTATCCATTAAAATTAGCTAAAGAATCTGTAGCCAGTAATGTTTTGGTAAATGATATCAATATGTAAAAATTGTTAAGTGCAGGATTACTGACAATATATCATTGGGAAAGATCTTACTACAGAATAAAATAATTTGTATTTTGAGGATCAAAATATATCTCAGGTACTATTTTAAGGAATTATTAACTGTCTGAAAATCAAGATAAATTAGCATTAAAAAAAAAAAAAAGTCCAGCAAAACATGCCTTCCCGAGAGCTTTAATGACACATTCACTTTACTTGGAATCATTTTGGCTCTTTTTTTTTTTTTTTTTTTTTTTTTTCCATGCTTACTGGCTCATTTAATGTGTGTGTGCTGTTTGTATCCTCAAGCATGAACTACGTCAACAGGATAATCTGCTGATAAGAGAAAGTGAAATGTACAAGCTGTAGGAGACTGACCTGGTCTTTACTTATCTCCTTACATATTCTTCTGAAATGTTCCCTGTGACTTAAGTTGTGAACAAATGAGAATGTGACATTAGCAAGAAACTGAGCAAATGTATATTGTTAGTGACTTCAACATGAGGTAGGGAGCTGGAGAGAGGCCAGTTACGCCCACCAGCACATCCCCTTTCTATCTTAGCTACCCAAATACAACTCCTGGGTAGGTAGGGTTTATCTAGAACCAGAATTAGGAATAAGCATTCAGAAGAAAACTTAGCAAAGGGGATGAACGAGCTAAAGCTCCTTTCTGGGATTTCTAGGAAGTAGTGGGTTGGGGAGTGAGCTATTCGAGGGCTTTTTGAAGCATTCTGATCCCTAATACCTGGGAGCAATAAAATGTGGCTAGGCCAGTGCTAACCACCGCCAAATCTTGTTTACAAAGAAGATTGAAATTCAGTAGGTCTGGGGGGACCTGAAATTCTGCATTTCTATAAACTCCCAGGTGGCATGGATGCTGCTGGCCCAGGGACCATATTTGAGTAGCAATGATCTAGACCAGTGTTGGCCAGTACGATTTTTGCAATGATGGAAATGTTTAACACCCACACTGTCTATTGTAGTTACTGCGCACTTGAAACGTGGCTGGTGCAATGGAGAAATTAACTTTCTAATTAAATTAATGTAAATTTAAACAGCCACATGTGGCTAGTGCCTATAATACTGGACAACAAGGGTCTCGACATTCACAGGTCATCTCTTCTCAGCCAGAGCAATCTATATCACGGTCCCAAAATCATCTAACCCGTCCGTTCATTTAGATCAGCAAGTTTCCTTTTTTAAACTGTGAACTGTAAAATTCGTTTTCTTTAAATTGTTTTCTTCCTAGCACTTTGTTCAGAGGATCCGCAACAGGCACTCAAGCGGGGAGAGGTGAAAGCAGTCATTCTGTAGTATGGAAGTTGATGAAGAAAGGGTACCAAAGGGTAGTGAGAATCTGAGCAACCATCACTGCATTGGGCATGTGGGAAATGGGAGGCCAAAAGCTGGCAAGGAAACTCAGAAAGGGAGATGGAATAACACTGAAGGCAAGAATTGAGTCCTTTGAAATTTTACTTAGGCCTGACCCTGTCCCTTCCCTTCTTGAAAAGCAAGTTTTGGAATGCCTGGCTGGCTCAGTCACTGTAGCATGTGACTCGGTCTCGGGGTTGTGAGTCAAGGCCCATGTTGCGTAGGGAGATTACTTAAAAATAAAATCTTGAAAAAAAAAAAAAAAAAGGCAAGTTCTTCCTCACGGAAATAAGACTTGAAGGAAATGGATGCTGGCTGTGATTCCCCTTCACCTCTCCCAAATTATTCAGGTGTGGGAGAGCATAGCGGGGAGGAACAGTACAGTTACAGCTGACAGTCCAGAGTAGGCTTAAGCTTCTCACCTCAGCTTCTGAATGGATCAGGGTACAGAGGCCACAACTGCACTCCCCTGAGCTGGGATCACCTCCCAGAGAGAAGCTCTTTCTACTTTCTATTTATAGCTCCATCTACTGTAAGAAGCTGGCTCCTCTGTGAGGCTGACAGGGGCCTAAGGAGGCTCTGAGGATACCATCTTGGCAAACAGGTGTGGGCAAAGTCATGTGGGTCCTACACAGCCATGTATAGACAAAGCATACAGGAAAGATTGCTCTAATTTAACGACAAAAAAAAAAAAAAAAAAAAAAAAAAAAAAAAAAGATACTGAAATTGTCATTTTAAAGGATTTTCCTCATCCAAAAGCCATCTGCAGGAAGACTCTAGTTAAGAGTCTAGTAACTGAGGTTTTACAACATAAAGAGTTATTACCTAAGAGTAAAAAGATCAACATCAGCCAAAAAAATATTAATCATTTTTATCTTACTCTCAAATTCTGAACATGTAATAGCTTAAGTCTCTTCTGTTGGCAAAGGGGTATTTTGGGTGAGTGAAAATCAACCCAAAATTCATTGGTGAGTCCCATGCCTCTCTGCACCTACATTTCTCTTTTTGGTAGAGCTGGACAGGTATCTGTGACCTCAGCAGAATTCCGAGACTCTGCCATCTGTATTTTAATTTCACAGGGAAGTGCCTGGAAGAGAGCAGGACAACTTGCAGGGGACAGGGGGCTGCGGATTATCAAGGGACTGGAAGAGAAGCCCTTTGATTTCATAGCTGAGGGTAACAATACACTTACTAAGTGAGTGGCTTTTTACTCTTTCATGCTACTTGATATAATTTCCTTTGAAAATTTTCTATTTATTCACAACTGAGACAGGTAGAATATATAGTCAGACATATTTGGTCAGGAACCCATCAGGCTCATTTATTTTTAAGATGTCTTAATTTTGTGATTTTACTAGTAAATATGCAATGTATAAATAAGAATAAAGTGTCAAATGTTTACACTTCTTTGATACAATTAAATTATGTCTGACAATAGTTCATTTTAAGTGCTTTCCCGTTAATATTTCTCATTAAGCATTTGGCAAATAATGGTCTAGAAAATATCAGTGAGAGTACATTTCAAGATTATGTGTGTTAAGCATGAATATACAAACACGGTATATGTGTATAGACCCATATATGTGTATATGTGTATGTGTGTGTATTTGTATCTACAGAGCACCTGCTTAGAAGGCTACTTCATGAAAATTGTTACCACTGGGTCAATACCCTGTTTACTTCTCTTATATAGGAGGTTTTGAAATATTACAATTAATTTTTGGTACATAACGCCTAAAGAAAGATGGTCTGAGGATATTTTGGTGACTTTTTAACACCATAGTATGCCTTTGGCTTTCAAAGATTTGATAATTGTAATGTTGACTCCTACTGAGCTACACTGAAGTAGAGTGGTTTAGAAACAAGAAAATAATACCTGCCTGATATAAGAATTAGGTGAGATAATAGTAATAATGGTATAAGAATGAGATGAGATAAAAGCCCTTAAGAAAAAATGTAAATCTCTTGTTGGGAAGTTGTGTCAGTAGTCACTCTAGCTAGTGGATAAGTCTGGGTGACCAATTGGAATACGATCAGTATACAAATCCCAGGTGAGACCTTCAGAAAACTGGATGTCAACAGCCCACTGTATTATAAATACAAACAGAGTATTGAATAAACACTAAATTAAAACCAAAGATAAGAACAAAATGTGGGAATTTTGGTTTGGGAAGCTATAACAAGTTTTGTTCGGCAATAGAACACATACTTTTATGAAAATATCCAGAAAATTTTCCTACTGTGCATACCTAGTGTTGACAATAGAGTGACATAAAATTGGCTTGCATAAAATGTGTATCATTTGTTGATTATGGCACAGACACGTGTTCACAAATTCTCAGATACAGAATATTTATCCAAAATCCCACATCAAAGAACAGAAAAGTGCCTTTAACCAACAAAAAGGTACTTAGGCAGTAATAAATTAAATTACATTAAAACTGACATGGAAGCCAAGTTTTAAGATATTACATGTGACATGCAAGAAAAAGAAAGACAATTCAGGCAGGAATGTCGTGCATTAAGATTTGCATTCATTCATAATATTTGAGGGGTTTTAACCATATTCTATGACCACTGAATGCTAGCAAAGTGAGGCCATACCCATCTAACATTCAAAACACAGCTTAATTTACATCTTAATCTCCTAACCAACTATTTTAAGGAAGAAGCCAATGCCTCCAATAGTGAAACCTAAGAGTTTTAGCCACATATTGTTATGCAGTCACAGAGTAAGAACATTCCATCTGACCAGGTATAAGGAAAGTAAACATTTCCATCTTTTAGACAATGCAATTGTCTCAGATTCCTCCTACCTTCTTACTTATATGAGCATATTTTAACATGTCAAGTTTGCACAATAAGGAAATGGCTTTGTGGAATGTATTTTTTTGGCACGAAAATATTTTCTAATACCTCAAATCAAAATTTTCACCCACAGCAAAATATCAAGCCACAGAGGTGCTCAGTGGTGCTTACTTTTCTAGGCAGAAGACTACAGAAACAGACAACTGCTTCCAAGAGCTTTGCATTAAGTAGCAATTACTTCCCTTCCAAGGAATAGCACCAATGTGATTACACCTCAGACTGGGGAGTGCTCCTTCCAAGCTCTTTAATTCCCTGGAGAATTCGCTTCATATGGCCCACTTTCGTTATCCCCAGGTCCTGAAAGAAAAGAAAAGAAAAAAAAAAGAAAAGAAAGAAAGAAAGAAAGAAAGAAAGAAAGAGGAAAAAAGGTGGAAAGAGAAAAAGAAAAAAGAAAGAGAAGGAAAAGAAAGAAGTTTATTGACCAGAGAAGACCGAGGTTTAAATATTTCACCAGCAAATAGTATAATTAGCATCCAGTTCATTAAGTTTAGTTTATAATCAATGATTTAGGAAGCAAAAACTATAAAAGTCAATTTATAAAGCAAAAATTGCCAACCAGTAAAAAAAATCACATCCTACACAAACTCTTAAACATTAACACTATCATAAATTATACACAATACAGTTCTTCAAGAGTCAAAATTGGTTTCTCCTATTCTTCTTCTTTTTAAAACACAGGTCCTTTTGGGATCTCTGAGAAAAGTGGCATGTGACATCAGGGCATCCACAATTAGTCCCAAGGCAACCATGCACATCCTTCCTAAAGTAGTAAACTTAAAAGTAAAGCCTAATCCTAAAGAAAGATATTAGTGGCCACCACCTACATGTGGAATTTAAATGCATTTACAGTTACATTTAGAGTCTTTGATTTGAGTGGTCTATTTAAATATCCTTTCTACTTTGTAATGCAGAAGTATAAAAAAATTACATAAACATAGCTCTCTGTGGGTTGATGCTTTTCCTCAAAACACTCGTGGCTCCTTTGCCTCAGAACTCTCCTTGTTTCTTACAGAACTGTCTTTCTATAAAGAGCCAAGAATTCAATATTTAAAATTTTTTTTTTTCAACGTTTATTTATTTTTGGGACAGAGAGAGACAGAGCATGAATGGGGGAGGGGCAGAGAGGGAGACACAGAATCGGAAACAGGCTCCAGGCTCTGAGCCATCAGCCATCAGCCCAGAGCCTGACGCGGGGCTCGAACTCCCGGACCGCGAGATCGTGACCTGGCTGAAGTCGGACGCTTAACCGACTGCGCCACCCAGGCACCCCAAGAATTCAATATTTAGCTTTCAGAAGTGGAGGATGGTTCCAGAGTGTGCAGCACACAGCAGGCACCTGGCAAAGAAATACTTGTTGCAGGAAGGAAGGAGATGCACACAAGACAGCCATGATGCTCACTACCTGAAAAACTAAAAGAAAGGGTGAAGGCCTCCAAACCCTGTAATTTCTTTTTTGTTTAATTAGCTTTTATTTTTTTTTTATTAAAAAAATGTTTATTTATCTTGAGAGAGACAGAGAGAGAGAGACAGAGAACAAGCAGGGAAGGGGCACAGAGAGAGGGAGAGAGAATCCCAAGCAGGTCCCTCACTGTCAGCACAGAGCCCGATGTGGGGCTTGAACTCATGAAACTTGAGATCATGATGACCTGAGCCGAAATCAAGAGTCGGATACTACACCGACTGAGCCAATCAGCCGCCATCACCCACCGCCATAGTTAATTTAAGTGTAATGAGTATGATCAATTTGCTAACAGGTGAAGTCAAACAAATTCTGTATAAAACAGAGGGTGTGGTATATTTGAAAATTAGCAAAAAGATGGCTTCCAAAGTAGCATCGAAAACAGGATTATGAGGTACCACAAAATCATGTGTCTGAGATGATAAAGATTCCAAATATCCATTCTATTTTGTAGGCTAAGAGCATTATTTATTTTTTTAAAAAAAATTTTTTTTTTTCAACGTTTATTTATTTTTGGGACAGAGAGAGACAGAGCATGAACGGGGGAGGGGCAGAGAGAGAGGGAGACACAGAATCGGAAACAGGCTCCAGGCTCTGAGCCATCAGCCCAGAGCCTGACGCGGGGCTCGAACTCACGGACCGCGAGATCGTGACCTGGCTGAAGTCGGACGCTTAACCGACTGCGCCACCCAGGCGCCCCAGAGCATTATTTATTTTTAAGCTTTAAATGAAATAGATCAGAGTATTTGAAGTGCGTGCACACATGTGCTCTCTCTTCCACACACTTTATGGGCTCTTTGAATTCTATAGCAGTAATGCTACTGACACTTTTTTTTTTTCTGACAATTTTGAATCTTTCTAGAAAATACTTTTTCTACAGCAAGCACTCTTTTCCAGCCTGAGATCATTTCTAGGTCACGCTTCTACAATATGTAACTGACCCTGAAAAATATTTTCTCATATGACACCGGGTCATTCTTTTTTATTTTTATTTTTTTTAGTGTCTATTTTTGAGAGAGAGAGAAAGTCAGAGTGTGAGCAGGGGTGGGGAGGGGCAGAGAGAGAGAGGGAGACCCAGAATCTGAAGCAGGCTCCAGGCTCTGCACTGTCAGCACAGAGCCCAGCGGAGGGCTCGAACTCACGAACTATGAGATCATGACCTGAGCCGAAGTCGGACACCTAGCCGACTGAGCCACCCAGGTGCCCCAACACTGGGTCATTCATAACCAGTCTTAAGGAAGTGTGTGCTAAAATAGCAAACTCAAAAGCAAGACCAAAACCTAAAGAAAGATAGCTGCTCCTGCTACCTAAATTTGAGATATAAATGCATTTACAGTTGCATTTCGATTCTTTTATTTGAGTGGGATATTTAAATATTCTTTCTGCTTTGTTAATATAATTATCTGATTAATAAATACACTTAATATTAAATATTTTATTTCAGGCCATATGCACATTGTATTCTTGAGAATAAAAACTTCTCTGGGAGAGGCAGACTCTACTCAGAATTACCAATTTGGTGTAATGAGATGAATGTTTTCCATAGAGTTACACTAACTCCTAGCTGTATTTTCTTTATTTTGAGTTCAATACTCTCATGTCTTCTAGGAGTTAGGCTGTGATAAAGTTATGCCATGACATCTGTTACACCTTTCTTATTTTTTCATATTCTTTATTAGTGGCCTTTTCTTTCTTTGGATGAATAGGCCTGATTTGGCAAAAACATACTTTGTAGACGTTCAGTTACCTTTGTAGCCACACATATGCAACTTTCCAAATGGAAAAAAACAAAAACCAACCACACAAACAAAACCACTGCATCTTTACCATTTTCTTTGGTGTCCCTCACTTTTGCCTACTGTCTTCCTGGAGGTGAAGTAACGTAATCAGTTTATTTGTCTGCTAAAGCACCTTAGAAATATTTTTCCTTTCCCACCTTTACAAGGTCACATTGCTATCTCTAGTCGTCTTGCTAAGAAGAAAGTAACACTTGAGCCAAGATCTGAGCAGGAGTTAGCCAGGTGAGGAGGGGTAGTGAGGAGGGGCAGGGCTGGAGTGGGACAGCAGAATAGAGGTTTGGTTTTTGACACGTGAAGACTGACACCCCTGTGTGATAGGCAAGTTTCAAGTAGAGGTGGTGATATAATCCTAGAGCTCTCAAATGAGGTCAGGGCTGGAAATACAACCCTGTGAACCACTGCCATATTCATGGACCATACCTGAAGCAATGGAAATGGGTAAGATTACCCAGGGAGTAGGTAATCCTTTACCAACATTGGTAGACTTTATGCCAGAAAGTCTGCTCCCTCTTACAGCTACACCCAGAGAGCAAGGGGAGCTCATCTTCTACCTTCATGAAGGCTTTGTCCGACAGCTGGTTCTTTCCGTAAAATTATTTTCCTTTTCTCATTCCCTCAGACCGTGTTTTAGAACCAAAAGAGTTAAAAAGGACAGTGTCAATACAGATTTCCAAAAGACAAGTTATAAGGGAAAGAATGTAGTTTGTAGTAAAAATAAAAACAAAGTAGGGGTGCTTGGGTAGCCAAGTCAGTTAAGTGTCTGACTTCAGCTCAGGTCATGACCTCATGGTCCGTGACTTCGAGCCCCGCGTTGGGCTCTGTGCTGACAGCTCAGAGCCTGGAGCCTGCTTCAGATTCTGTGTCTCCCTCGCTTTCTGCCCTTCCCCACTCATGCTCTGTCTCTGTCTCTCAAAAATGAATAAACATTAAAAAAATTTTAAAAAATAATAAAAACAAAAAGTCCCATGAAAAGCTAAAGAGAAAATTTACTAAAATAATTCTTAACCATTTCCTTTTTACTCTTACTTTTTTCTAGCCACGTCCTATCACTCTAACTTTGACTTTGCATACGTATGAGCTTTGTTTCTTCATTCTGCAAATATTTGCTTTGCTCACTGTGTATGTGTGTGTCTATTTGTATGCTTATAGGTGCATATACATATATATAACATACAGAGATATATTTATATATACATACACATACAGTCTTTTCCTTTAATATACGCTTACTCATGGCAAATGAAATGTAAAGAGAGACTGGCATAGCATATCAATCAGTAGCTAGTCAATAAATATTGCTGCCTGCCAAGGATATGAGAAGCTATCCTTAGATACAATGATGCCTTACATTTATTTTTTTGTGCACTCATTCCACGTTTTGAAGCCAACCTTTACTCTATGAACTTCAGCACTGTATATTTTGCTTTTTTCCAGATTTGGGACTCTCAACTGTGATAATTAATCTACTTCCTTATTATTATTCTGGTTAAAAACATTTACATATAAATGGTGTCCACTTTTAATGTGCTAAAACTGTATGACTCTGCTTTATAAAATCCTACAGATTACCCATACATTGTTCAAAGATCTCTGCTACCGTATTTATAGATAAAGGCACAACAGTTCACAAATTTGTTAGGGATTTACTGTACCATAATTCCATGAGAATCAGAACCTGGCCTACTGGAAAAGGACCACTCTAAAATACATCAAAGGCTTTGTCATTTTCATATTACTCAATCTTGGAATTTTAAAATGGCAGCGTTTGGTAAGAAAATATAAGATGACAAACTTCTACTCCCAACCTTAAGAGAGAATACTCTACTTTGGCCACTGGCAGTCTCCACCCGAAAAATCCAAGAGAACCACTGCTTACCACTAATTAATGATATTCTTTCTGGTCATAAATGACAAAGGGGCTCTAAGCTGCATTCCAGCAAGAGTAAAACAATTTTTACTTCATTTACTAAAGAAAATAATACATTGTTGAGCATAATACAATTTTAACAGTAAATCATGGGAAGGGCATTTGAATTTATTGGTCTAGTTGTTCACGTGACTTCTGAAAGGGCAATCAGAAACACAACAAAATCATAGGACTCTAAGTAGCCACTGCTGTGGATCCCTTATTTAGTTCCATATATTAGGAAGACTTTGTTACTGGTATTTTGAATTGATTTTTAGTTGTTAACCTTTGGTTAGATTTTTAAGTCGTCTTCAGCAACAATTACCACCTTTCATGCCGACTCAATAAAGTGAGCTGATGGAAACATGAGCCATTTGGAAATATTAGCACAGGAACAGCCGTATGAATGGATGCAGAGAAAAATTACTAACTTCATGCTAAGCTTTAGCTACAATAATCAGAGAATGATTTTTGATAGGAAAATATTGCTGACATTCTTGTTTAAAAAGCAGAGGAACTCCAACCACAGGACAATGCATATTAGATTACTGCACATTTGCATAACATAAGCCAAGCTAGAAGCACATAACAAAAGAGGTGCAGGATAAAGGATTCTGTTTTGCCAGGAAATTTTCAAAAGCAGAAGAGTAGCACAAAGGAAATACCTTAAGATCTCGCCTTTCCAGATGCAAAAGTTCAGCCCCTCTGATGTCATGACGGATGAAGATTTCTTTGTACTCTCCCAAACTGAGCAGATCCAGCCAAGCAGCAACTTCCTCTGTGCCCCATTTTTGAACTACCAAAGTTAAGAGCAAAACCCCCTTAATTTCTACATGCTCAATGCATTACAAAGCAAAGGTTGGCCAAAGAAGATGCAAAACAGAGTACAGCGGGCAGTGCTAGCAAAGGGAAAGGTTAAAGGTGTTGTTTCAACAAAACTCCAATTTCGTTGTTCCCCATGCAGGTTACAGACCATCAATCAACACAAAGGTCTGACTAGGCAAAAACATTCACTGCTGGGCACCCAAACTACACAATAGGAATAAAAAATGTATTTCTCATGATTAGGATAAATAGTACAAGATCAAAATAAGCTCTGATGATTTCTTTAAGACCATATATGGCACTAATTTAATTTAATTAGCTACAAACGCTAATCAAAATATGAAATCTGAAACAGGGTACTGAATTTTACACAAACTTCTGTTTTGGGTCTTGCTGTCTTCAAGTATCGCCTTTATTGATTCTATAACTATTTATAATTATAATTATTGATAATTACAGCACCAAACGTGTTGTTAGATCATTTTAATGTCCTCTAAATGCCGTCAATGCTTCTAAGATTCGTTGGATTGTTATTTTCCAATGTAGATAATCGTGGTTGTATACATTTTATTCAACGTTGCTTAGCTGAATTAAAGATTATTTATTTGCCCTATTTGGTTTTAAAATGCCCTTCAATAGCTGCTCTACGATTGTCAAAAATAAGGTCATGTATCACTTTTTAAAAGGAGTTAGCTAACTCGGAAGAATTATAAAATGACTTGATTATGAAAGGCACCTACTGTCCCATACACAGAACTTGAAGGTGTTTTAGCACAAGTGCAGCATTAACGTTAATTTCTAGGGGAAGGTGGAAAGGGAACCAGACAAACAACATCAAAGACAGAGTTTAATCTTCGCTTGAGAATGCAAATGTCACAGTAGATTGTTACTACTGAGGGAATGAAATGGTGTAGTAAGTCTTTGAAACAGGAGAAAAAGATCAGGTAACTTTAGGTAGAAGATATATTTAGCAAGTTAAAAGATATATTTAGCAAGTTTCTATATTTCATTTATGAAAATCTCGATTTTGAACTCTGACGAGAAACAAGTTATCCACTGATGCCTTGAATTGTTAAGCAAGACAAAGGACCATCTAAACAGATGCACTGATGTCCACTGAAGAGAGTACAAGCAAACCTCGTTTTCTTGTGTGCATCATAACTACAGGCTCTTACTGGTTTTTGGACTTTGCGTGGGTATGATATGATTTACTTTATTATGGTAAAATGAACACAAAACTCTCCATTTTAGCCGATTTATGGTATACAATTCAGCAGCATTTAGTACATTTGTAATGTGCAATGGTCACCACTAATAGTTCCAGAACATTTTCATCACCTTGGTGACACTGCTTTAATAAGTTATTTTTTCCATAATGTAATACTTTCCCTTCCAGTGTGGATCACCTACCAGGCTGTGAACCTGTCTTCTGTTTCTGAACCTTTTCCTTTTTAAATTTTGGCACTATACGAAATACTGTGCTTCTGCTGTTTCTCTTGGTGCAATCCATGGGGGGTTCCTGTTCGGGTCGAGCAAGAAGAGAATTTTCTCAGGACATTAAGAGAAGAAAAACTCACTCTGATATTACAGACAATGCAGGAATAAATGCAAAACACTGCTGAAATGACAATGCAGGAATAAATGCAAAACACTTCTTAAAATAAAAGTGTACAATGTTATGTACTACCGAAGATGTACTGATTCCCCAAAGATACCTCTGTTCATAGAAAAGCCTTTTCTTGTTCTTTTCTTTTTTTTTTTTTTTTTCAAAGTTTATTTATTTCTGGGACAGAGAGAGACAGAGCATGAACGGGGGAGGGGCAGAGAGAGAGGGAGACACAGAATCGGAAACAGGCTCCAGGCTCTGAGCCATCAGCCCAGAGCCTGACGCGGGGCTCGAACTCACGGACCGCGAGATCGTGACCTGGTTGAAGTCGGACGCTTAACCGACTGCGCCACCCAGGCGCCCCATTTCTTGTTCTTTTCTTGTTCAAGAACAGCACATTTGAAAGTAGCGTCCAGAATTCGTTTTCCCTGGAATGTCCCTTTTTCAAAAGATGATTTCAAATTCTATTGTCAGAAAGCCTACACTTACAAAGAAACAGGCCAGATTTTACATACCTCATCTTCGTTTGGATGTAAGATATAATAAAGCCAAGGAATCTCTGTTAACTTCTGCAACTCCACCTCCACAGAATGTAAGGCATTAGATACCCGCTCTTCATGTGGGGATTCTAAGTGCTGTTTACCAGCAGGTTAAAAAACAAAACAAAACAAAACAAGTCTCAGTGACCAATCTCAAACAGAATAAACATATTTTATTTTTCTAGCAGACATCCTCAACTCTTACTAGGCTAGGTTATTGTTGTTGGTAATATAAAGGAATATAGAAAAGAGAACACATTATTTTATATTGAGCTCATTTAAAAAAAATCTGAATTGATTTATCCGTACTTCCCAAAGACAATATAAGTAGTCAGTGTGACTTTAATAATGTCACAGAAAAAAAAAGTATCACTTTGGGTGGTGTTGTTGGTTTTTTTTGTTTGTTTGTTTCCTATGTAAATTCTTTCCTCTCCCTCCCTTCCAAACCATGCATCCATCCATCCATTCTGCATTCTGGTAAGTAATCTCACTATTCTACTTATTTGCGGCAGAAATCCTTCTGATTTCCATAGGTCACTACGTAACCAAATAATGCTATTTTAAAACTTGGTCAAAAACATGTCACATAATAAGAACTGGCTGGTACAGAAATCTCCTGGAGAAATAGAAGAATAAGTTTAAGGGGGGGGGGAACCCATGAATCTCAGAAAAATTTATGACAAAAAGCTGTTGTCAAAATAAGGGCAAAAGCTACATGGTTTGAAATCTGGAAGGGGTTTTGGAAACTTTATAGAGAATTTAACCAGTCACCTATTACCCACTTATTTGAAACAGTTATTAAAAAGCATGTAGAAATTCAATGGTAAAGGTGAAATAAACACTGTTATGTGTAGGTCGGGAAGGGAGGTGACTACATTCTAGTTACTTGTTACTAAGTATGCAACCAAAGGAAGGCTGGCTGATTTTAAGAGTCTTAGTTTCTTCCTAAAATAGTATAAAGATTATTTCTAAGGTCTATTCCAGCTAATCAATACTTCCATAAGCCACTTTAAAATTGTAGAGTATCTACATATAGGCTTGCAGAATTTTACACTTAAAGTTCAGAGAAAATGTTACTGTTATTTATTATGGTCATTCTTCCCC